TTTTTTTTTTACCTACAGGGTATTCTACTCATCATCGTCGGAATTGCGGCCTGTGCGTAGGAGACAGCTTTTTGCAACTTACTGATAACGAGACTGATGTATTTTTTTATTTTTGGCTGGTAGAACCGTGCTCACGTAAGGGTGCGACATATCTCCCTTCCTTCCTGTATCTTTCATTTCATTTTATTTTCTGAAATGTTTCAATCGAAGGACAGCAGTGGCAATTGTAATGTATGCTATTTAAACATATAGATTATCCGGGTATTAGGTACTAGATAGTGAAGTTATGTGTTTTTTGTACGTGAAAGATGATATGTTTGACAGTCAAAATAAAATGTAGCCTTCTCTTGCAGGAGCTATGCTGTTCAGCAAACGTCTTCTAGTGATTAGGTACAGATAAGGCACTTAATACTTAAATTCAAATTCAGTGTCGTCTACCACATGTCGTTTTATTAATTTCGGTGTTGCTATGTCCAGCAATTGGCCCAAAATATCTCGCCACAGAAGTGTCCGACAAGGAAAAGACGGTATGGCAGAAGAATATGAGATGAAATAGAGGTGAAAGTTCTTACGTTTTACGAATGGTTGCATTACCTAGTAGACTGTGGCATTAAAATATAGCATTATATGGTGGAACTAGAAACATTGTGGCAAAACCTAACGACACCCTAAAGGATAGCAATTAACGCAAAATGAATAATTATGATGATGACATCGAGAAATGGAAGGAGGAATAAGAAGAGGAGGGAAATTAAACGAGTAGGAGGATGAATTAGCTCCGTTGTGCCGTGAGAAAATCTGGACCAAAAGAGGTTTTTAACTAAGACACAAAGTTCTCAGTTGCTAAAGGGCCCACGATTTCATTCATTAAGATGATTGCCGACCTTGCAATCACCGGCTTGACAGCCATTTTATAAGTTTGTATTCCGCCAACTCTCCCTGAACCTCCGAGCTACCTATCGTGGTGCGCGGCAAGTGGAAACAATGGGTTCCATGTGGTTGTTGCAGTCCTTGAACTTGAGACTAATACAAACAACACCAGCAAAGGAAATGTACACGTGACCTTCAAGAATTTGAGGTCACCACTTTCATTTAAGTTTTTCCGATGTTTTTGCTCTACGAGAGGATGCTGTGAAGGGTCAGGTGACAAACTAAACGAATGCTATGAATAACCACTGGTATTTGGTGTTTTGAACGCAGCGTACCCGCACACCATCAAGGATGTTAAATAGGTTGTAGATTTCGCCAACTAAACCTGATGAGAGTAACTTGCGCTCGAAAAGACGCCTGTAAATCAGTGCGTCCTAAGAACAACGCGACTTAACGTAATGTTTCTTCTATACGGTAGGAATGCTTAAATTGGCTTTCTAAACAGTACATAAGAAAGTGAAATACCCACAGTGCAAGTGTCAGTCGGGTTACGTCCATGGTTCGAGTCGAAGGCTTAATGCTAGCGGTCGGGTAAGTTAGGTTTAAGTTTACGACAGTGTTATCATTAAGAAAAAGGGCTGTGATTTTGATTTATTGGCAATCGCAGTTTAAGTAGTGCACCACATACACCCCTAGTCCCCGTATTTTGTCTTAGGGAGACGGTGGTTATAGGGGTTTTTGGGTTGGGGGAATAGTATAGGCAGTGAAGGAAATTTGTAGAAGTAAGTGTAAATTGTAAGAATTTAGTTGAAGTTGTTTCCTGGGAGCAAGTTGTTTTGTATGTAAATTGAAGGTGTGCGCGGCGCTTTGCGTTGGGAATTATACTAATATAACTCTAGAACGGTAAGTTAGACCTCAGGTACGTTGAATTAGACGACCTTCTTGCCACCATTTCATTTTTTTTAAGGAATGTCGAGAAACCTGCATTTTTTAATTGGATTTTTCTGCAATACTTCAAACGTCAATACAAATTAGGGAAACCTACAGATATACATCAATAATCCTTCAAAATTCAATAAAATAAAAGTGCATTCAATTGTAATTAAAGTATATTCCACTGCGTATGCTAATTCCCCCCTTAAAACTTCAAAACTACCGTTTCCGTAAAATAAAATGCTAGGACTAGGGCTATATGAGGTGCACTAATTTAACTACTACTGACGATTTATTTTAAGGCTGTGTTCAGTATACGGATACGGCAATATTTATGCTTTCTGAATTAGGCACAGTCTTACGTGTACTACCTTGGGGGGAGTTGTAATTCCCGCGTCCTGTTAAGGAGACTATATAAGTAATCCTGAGCAGTTACTATTTTAAGGCGACTTCCTCAGAGGGCTTATTCCGTAACCGAACCTCCTTTTATTTCTAGCATACCGAAGACTTTTTTAGCCCAGAAGTCTTATAATTCTCTCGCTTTTTTATAGCAAGAGGCTAGACAGTTTTCCTTGTGAAAGGGGCGTTGCGCTTGTGCCAGGTCTACTTCATACCCTCTATTTCATTTCGATCGATAACTATGGATTTAACTTCTTCTAATTGATCTCAGTGGAACAGGGGTCAAACAGTGACATATTGATCCGTATGTGATTGACTGTTGTTACCTTTTCGTAGAAGTACAGAGAGATTACTGGGGCTGTGTGCTTGGAGGTAACCGTTGGCAACAGGCATTCCTGACCAGTTCGTTACTATACGCGTTCACATGACACACATAAAACACTTACTCCAGTGCGATGACTTCTTCAAAAACGTCAGCAACAACTAAGCCGCCATTCCTTTGATGTATCTCGTCAGCCTATCAGATTTTTTACTGTCTATGGGCAATTATTGTACAGGAGTGGTTTATATGAGGAAATCCAAGAATTTTTACAAGACGATCTACGTTTAAGCAGCCAATCAACGGTATTTGAGGGGGGAGGGGGAATCGTTAAGAGATCAAAGGGGGGCCAGAGGGGCTGGGGGAAGTGTCTCATAATTAGTTCATATCAACTGGTCGCGGCGTCTTGACACCAGTTGTCTCTGTCTGATGATTAATTAATCGAAAACGTTCGTTCGCCTATTTTGACTTCTTGAATGCTTAAATGGGTATCATTGCTGAACTCAAACTATCCATGTTATGTAAAAAGAGCGCAGTCTACGATCCCAAAAGTATGTATCATTAAAGTAAACATTGAAATAAACACGCAGATATACATTATGTTGCCTAGCTCGTGAAATCCAAGACTTTTAAAAAAGAAACTGCGTGTTACTCAAACGCAGCCCTAGCTGCGGCCCCAAAAGTCTACCAGCACTAAAGAAATGGTCGTTCTTCATAATATGGTACATTGCGATTTATGGAGGAATATAAAGTTTTATAGAAATACCAGCATTTTTAGCAAAATGGAAAATTCCGAAAAACTGGAAATCAGGGGGTACTAGGTAAACTTAAATTTTACACGTAGAGAGAGCCTGTTCATGCAATACCAGCGAGTGAATAACGCAGGACAATTACAATTACTTTGGAAAATAATCCTTTTG